GCTCCCATTCTTACCTCGAAAATGACTTGGCGACATGCTTTCACGTATTTTTACGATGTGATCGAATTCGCAGACCGCTGGAACCTCCCTATGACTGTCCGTCCCAGGTTGTTTCTCGTTGGGAGAAAACTTTCCGCATCCTTCGCGGAACACGAGAAGAGGTCGTGAGCGTGGACCACTTCAAAGCCGCTGTACCAGACAGTCCGCCGGACGAGCCCTCTGCTTCCACTTCCCCTGCTCCCCAACTCTCTATTCCTCCGTCCTGTTTGTCCCCTCTTCCACCCTCTCCACCGCTATCGACAGTTACTCCCCCCGTCACCTCCAACATTCCTGTCACAAGCCATTCTTGCCCCGCGCCCCCTGCATACATTATCCGCAGTGGACGCCACGTTCACTTTCCCGACCGGCTTGTGCCTCACCATTTTGATACTTCTACATTTTTCCTTCGGCATCGTTTCTTTACGCTGCCTTTGGTCTAGACGGGGGTACTGTGACGGTCCCCGACTATGTGTGACCTTTAACATTCTCGCCTCCTTTTTCCTCGATTATCCCTGGACTTCGAATGCACTGACAACACCGGTAGAACTTTATCCCCGTGTATGCCAAGACCCAGGTTGTAACTGTTTTCCGTAGTATTTTATATACTTTTGACAGTTTGGTCTTTTCTATTATCGTGACAGTTAACATTGGTTAAGCTCTATAATGATAGTCAGAAAAGTGTTCTAACCACAGACATTCACAGACTGCTTATTCCCGCCAAGGCCATCAGTATGCTGGAATGCACCCGGGGGCTGAAAGAAAGACTCGTCATGGTGTGCAGGGTAGCTGCCGATAAAATTCGAACGGCACAACAGCACCAAAAATCCTGTTATGATCGACACCGAGCGGGGACGTAATATTACACTGGTGATTCTGTTGTACTATGCAGGTCGCGGCCACCAACCGGCGCCGCTGCAAAATTTCACCGCCCATGGAAAGGACCGTACATTATAGTCCACCGACCATTTCCCGACACATTTATTCTTCGCGACCCGAAAAGTAATTTGGCCGATGATCTCACCGTACAATATAACCATATCGAGGCGGCGCCCTATTGCGGACCGCCTTCTGATCTTCCCCCTCCCTCCACTTGTTCCCCACGATTCACTCCCCTCCGTTGCGCAAATGGTTGAAATAACTACTTCAAGCTCACCGGAACGTTAAACATAAAATCACCGTAGATATTGCTTGCTTGAGGACGCAGTCTAATGGGAAACACGCCTTCCTTTCCATTAATATGATATTAGACCATCAACGCGAATATAGAATCTGAGATGCCCGAACCGGTTATGGGAAATTCGCCTTTTGTTGCCGGATGAATGAGTCCACTGAACTCTTTAATTTCACTACCACAGGTCTCATTGCGTGCCAAGACGCAATCTGCAAACTAGTACAGCCACTTTAAATAGTTCCAATTTCAGTCGGGTCAAATACGTTTTAATAGAGTTCGTTTGTATTTTATCATCGATTAACACCATAGGCTGGGCATCTGATAAGCACGTTTCACTACTTTGCTTAATTTTAAAGCACTGTGCATAATTTGCAAAATCATATCCATATCCTTCAAACAGATGGTCACATACCACAGCCTCTATCTTATATTTTTCTCCCCAAGCGTTGTGAATACTTTCCTATCTTTATGCATATTGACCCAATCAACTAGAAATCAATATCAAAGTCATAGTCATAAAATATAATATGAAAAAAATTAATATTATCATACAAAAGTCTTATTTTATTGTTTATTTAGTAATCCAGTACTTTATTTTAGTTTTTGTATCTGTGTTTTAATGCATAACGAGACAAGCATTTCCTGCACTTTTTCGATCGGTGGTTGTATTCTTCGCGCCCTCTCATTGTCTCTTCCTGTCATTCATCATGTCGGTCGTTCCTATGTCTCAGCGCCTGGAACTTGAAATTAAGGACAAACAGATTTCTGAAGTAAGTCTTTTTGAGTGTTTTTATTTGTCCATTAGGTC